TTCAGTTATTGCATGAGGGTGTTATTAAGTTCTGTTCCTCCCATGTGGTTATGTGAAGAGTGTCGTTCAGGAGCAGGACCTAATCGTCAAGTGGAAGTTCACAACGAAGCTGCAGTTGATCATAACATTACAAGCGACTCGACTAATCAACTTTCAAGTCCACTTGGTAATGACAAAACCAATCTCTTTTTGCTTAATTTTACTCTGTTTTTTAGTTGATGAAGAAACTGATCATGTGTATCTTTTGATTTTTATCCATGTGTAGTTGAAGACGCTTCTTCTCCAGTGTCTATGGATACATCTCCAGTCGAGAAACAGGAGTTACCAGATTTGAATCTTGTGCCCTCTGATTCGGATTCTGCAAATTAATCGCTGAGATTATTGCGTAGCTTATTGTTGTCAGATACATCTGGATTTAGGGTTCTTTTTTGTGTTGTCTTGGGTCACAAGTTAGTGAGATTGGACTTGGTTGATATAACTCGTGTCGTGTACATTCTTGCTTTTTACTTGTGTTGTTGTGTTATTTGCTTATAAGCTAACTATGTGAAGCTCTTTGTTACAACAAAATTGATATATCTTTTAATTACTTATCAGAGAATTGATGATATTTCTCCAAAGTGATGTATTAGGGTTCTGTTTAGAAATGCTCTACCTAATTTCTTCCCCATGACGTTTTTATTAGATACTAGTACTACTATAGTATTTGTTTTTCATACATTTTTTTTTCTCACAAATGTTATATTAAGAAATCTCTTAATTTATATTCTTTCAAAAAAATATGACTTTTTTTTTTATTGTTACAGAATTTATCAACAAATTTATTTACTACTTCAAATTGTTTTTACTCAATTGCGTGGTTAGCCAAATAATTAGAAATTCGTTAACATATGGATATCTAATCTTATATTATCCAATCTTTTTGACCCAAAAAATAAAATAAAAAAAATATCATCCAATTTCATATCATCGAAATATATGAGGGAACTACCCAACATTACCCAAATTCCGATTTAAAAACTTAATCTATAAATAATTTTGAAAACTTGAAAATTGTATAAATAAGGACGTTGACAAAATAACAATAAAAAATAAGTTTAAGTACCCTTAATTGT